AGTTAATCCGAATTTGGTCGCACTCCGAAGCAAATTTTCCCATAAGATTCAATGTAATTACCATTAATCCATTCTGGCGTCCGCGGACCACGCATCAGGGGCACGAGAACGGCCGGGCGCGGCGCGGCAGGAGAACGGCCGGGCGCGGCAGGAGAACGGCCAGGCGCGGCGCGGCGGGAGAACGGCCGTGGACCATGTGTCAGGGGTGGAAAAATGGCCGCGGACCACGTGTCAGGGCGGAAAGATGACCGTACCCCGAGGCAGAGTTTGCACATCGAGGTAAATTTTTGCGGCCGGAGCTGGTCGTAACCCGAAAAGTTCGTTAGTAGAGGCGTTCGCATCCCGAGGTACCACTGTACAGTTACTATGCTAACGTATATCCTGGCAGATAAAGCCACTTGAATCCATTCAGAGTTAGACACTAACTGGGCATGTACATGTGAGTTGACTGTGGCACCATCTTGTTCTGCTATCTGGGAGGTGTTTAACCCTGTACCTCCTGAGAAAGTGAAGAGGATCCTTGAGACTATTCACACAGCAGCCTAACCTTTAGATTCATGCCCCTTCTGACTAGTTAAAATTTCCTGGGAATAATGTGTGGTTGGATCAATGAAATGATGAAAGCATCCATAAGTAAAAGTGATGGTTCCATCTGACTTGAAGAAGATAATGACGCATCTCCTCCTTAAGAAATCATTACTGGATCAAAAAGTTTCCAAACAATTTTTGTCTTCTTTAGGGAAGGTTTTGAGATGGCAGTTGGACTGCAGCTTTATAGGGCCCTGGAAGAAGTGGATTATCTGACCCATTTCAGTCTGGTTTCAGAACAGTCATAGTATAGCTTTCATTGCACTTGTTGATGACCTCTGGCAGGACTGGGATGAAGATGGTGCAACTGTCCTAATTCTCCCAGCAGTCTTCAATACAATCAATTATGGTATCCTTCTGGACCAGCTGTAGGAATTAGGAGAGGAAAGCATGATGTTGTGATGGTTCTCCTCCTTTCTATGCACTGGTTGCCAGTCAGTGTTGAGAGGGAGAGATCATGAGATGCCACAATGTGATGGACTGGAATGGTGGGAGGGGAGTAAAGAATGTGCTCTCATCTCCAGAGGAGCGAAGAAGAGATAAGCGGAGGAGGCTGGCACCTCCCTGAGAAATCCCATTGGTGTGAACAGACTGAGCCTGGGAACTGGCCTCCAGTCTGGGAAGATTCTTGTAAATGGGT